CGTGCCCTCATCACTGCAATTCCCTCTTAGAGTCCCTGCCTCCTGGTTCAGACACACCCCGAGTCCTGGGCAGGGACTCAACTTAGGGCCCCGGGGGATGGCATTCGGCCGTGACGGGCCCTGAGGTTGGGGTCACGCGAGCTCCCCGCTGACCTCACAGTCGCCCCAGCAGCCGTGTTAGGGGGACATACGCGGTGCGTCCTTTTCCACGGGGGCCTGGCGAGGGCGGGTTAGCCTTTGCTGGTCCTGGCGGGAATGAGGGGTGAGGAAGCCGGGCGGCTTCAGGGCGCAGCTCAGCAGCCCCGAGAGGAGGAGCCTTCTGCTCGAGGTGACCCAGCTCTGAGTGACGCGGCCGTGGGGACCCAGGCCCCGGGCAGAGCCCCTGAGCCCTTCGCTGCCCCCTCCCCGTTCCTCCTCGGCCTCCCGCCACCCAGCAGGGCTGCCCCGAGTTGCTTAGCAACCCGTCACTTCCCAGTTAAAACGCAGAGCACCTGGGACGGTGGGGTGGCGATTTCCCCGAAGATTCTTCCACTGTAGACAGAGAATTAATTAAAAGGAGATTTCACTTAGAATTAGCCCGAGCGTCTCCTGCCACAGGGAGCGCACAGGTGATGCTCCGGAGACGCAGGCACCAGGGCGTGATCAGGCTCAGGACGCAGCCTCGCGCTGGTTATTTTACTTTATTGTTTAAAGTGCCTCACGCTAGTCTTGACATTGGAACCAGGAAGTAGTGGAGTGAAAGCCTGTTTTCACCATCTCCTGTCACGGTGGATTGTAAACCCAGTGGAAAAGCTATAAACACAGAGGATGGGAGACCAGGGGGTGTCAGCATGTGCACCCCAGGCTGGTGGCCCCTCATTCGTGAGCCTCAGCTTCCTGCTCTGGGCTCAGCCTGTGGCAAGGACTGTCCCCTCGTTTCTGCTGTGTCTGCTGCTCGCCAAGGGGGTCGTCCTGGGGAGTGAGGGACGGGGAGCTGGGCTCCTAGCAGGGGTGCGGGGCGTGTTCCCCACAGTCCTTGTTGGTGGGGTCTGTCCCAGGCATCACGGACATTTAGCCACATCTCTGTCCCTGCCCACGGGATGCCCACAGCGCCTCCTCGCTCCCCCCACCCGCACGCCCGCACAGCAGGTAGAAGAGACCTGAGGCTCCACCCTCTCCCTCTCCCCTGACCCTGCAGCCTGAAGCCAGTGCAGCGCACGTGCTCCCCAAGGATGTGGCCCAGACACCCCGCAACCCTGTGTCCTGGTTGCGAATCTTGGAGACTCTAGGCAGAGTCTCCGGTGGGACTGTGCTGCTCACGGTGCCGTGTTCACCATCACCAGGGGCCCAGGCGCCCAAGGGCCCGCTGTGCCCTGAGGATGCGAGTGTGAAATGGCCTAAAGCAGAGGAGGAGGGGAAGACTCGAGGGGCCCGTGCGGGTCGGGAAGCTGCGGTTTAGACCTCGGCCTCCGCGGGGCCCACCCGCGTCTTCACAGGCTCCCCGACCCCCTGGGTCTCACGCGCAGTGTCCCGCCCTGTCCCCTCTGCCCGCAGGGTGCACGCTCCTCTTCTACGAGAGCGACGGCAGGTCGGGCATTGAGCCGGGCAGCGTCCCCAAGCACGCCGTGTGGGTGGAGAACGGCATCGTGCAGGCCGTGCCCGAGCACCCCAAGAAGGACTTCGTCTTCTGCCTCAGCAACTCCCTGGGCGACGCCTTCCTCTTCCAGGTTCGTGGGCGCTTCCTGTCGGGTCTGGGGGGGGTCCTTCCCGCCTCCCCCTCCCCCCAGCCCTCCCCTGCCCGGGTGGCTGTCACTTCTGGGTTGGGGGAGCTGAGCCGGGGGACACGGCTGCCTGGCGGGGGACGGTCTCACTGCGATCGCGGCGTGGTTCGCGCTGCGCTTTCGAAAAGGGATCGCATCCCGTCCTGCAGACAGGATGTGGGCTGTCAGGCTGTCTCTGTCATAACATGTTGTCTTCTGAGACACTCATTCCGTGAAAGTGACATTCCAGAGTGACTGAGCCGTTCCCCCATCGCCCTCCATTCCACCTTCTCATGTCTTTGTGCCTGACGCTCTGGAGCTGGCTGTGAATCGTATTGAAAGATGCGAACCCGCTAGTGACGGCGGGGCTGGCTTTGCTCTTATCGGGAACCCTTGGCGTGGGCTCCGTGCACTCCCAGCACCTCCTGTGGGGTTTGTCAGGGACTGTCCTTCCTTCATTTCCACCATCAGGACCCGCTCCGGCCGTTACTCTGTGCTTCCTGTGTGCTGTGCTCACCGCTAGTGAGCACACCGGGAAGGTGTAGTTCCTGTACTTAAAGAGTTTGCATGTTACACGGACCGACACAGGGAGGCCTGGGTGCTGTGGGGAGGCTGGCAGTGACGCGTGGGGAGCGTAGGGGTGGGTGGGGGACACGGCGTGAGAGTATCCCACGCAGGAGAGAGAAGCCGGGACAAAGGCCTAGGAGAGAGCGGTGGGTTATTGCACCACGTGTCTGGGTTTGGTCCCTAGCGTGATTTCTATTTAGGACATTAAAGTAATAAATATAAAATAGTGGTTTTGTTTGTGGACAGAAAAAAAATCAGTTATTCTTTCTTTAAATGTGTGATATAAAACACTCCTAAAGAAGAGCACACGAGACATAACCGCACGGCTCACCGAAGTATCGCCAAGTGCGTCTGTAACCCCCACTCGGGCCAGGAATAGACGTGTCTGGCCGCGCGTGAGCCGCCCTCTGCCCACTGCGACGCGTGCAGCCTCCAGCGGAATAGAGTGGATGCGCTTTCTCAGCTGAGCAGGACGCTTTGTTTATCTGGGAAGGTCTTCATTTCTCCTGCATCTCGAAGGCTGTTCTACTGGATACGAAATCCGTGATTGGCAGTGTTACTTCACAGCTTTGAGGAGCCCACTGCACTGCCATCTGGCCGCGGTGGCTTCCGATGAGCCGTCGGCTGTTAATGTTGTGAGGATCCCTTTTCTAGACGAGTTCCTTCTCTCCTGTTGCGTTGGGGAGTTTTGTCATTTGTCTTTAAACAGTCGGATTATAATCTGCCTGCAACTGTAACTATTGATGCCTCTCGGTTTATTCCATCTGGAGGCATTGAGCTTCTTGGGTGTGGGTGTGTGTGTGTTAAATCCCATGTGTGACGTTCTCAGCCATTATTTCCTCAGATAGTTTATCTGCCCGTTGATTGTTTTCCTCCTGGGACTCCCTTACGTTAATGTTGGTGAAGGCTGCTCGTTGTCCTTCATTCTTTGTCTGTTCTGTTCCCTGGACCGGACCTGGTTCCCCGGTTCTTTATTTCTCAGCGGAAATCTGCTTTTCAGCTCCTCTGGCGAATTTTTCGCTTTATTTATCTACGTTTCAACTCCAGAATTTATATTTAAAAATAATTTTGGTTTAAATTTCCCTGTTGAGCCCTAGCCAGTTTGGCTCAGTGGATAGAGCGTCGGCCTGCGGACTGCAGGGTCCCGGGTTCGATTCTGGTCAGGGCACATGCTCAGGTTGCGGGCTCCATCCCCAGTGGGGGGCGTGCAGGAGGCGGCCGGTCCATGATTCTCTCTCATCATGGATGTTTCTCTCTCTCTCCCTTTCCCTTCCTCTCTGAAATCAATAAAAATATATAAAATAAATTTCTCTGTTGATATTCTCTATTTGGTGAGATATTCTCAAACGTCTTCAGACACGATCTCCTTTGGTTCTTTGAAAATATTCGCAGTAGCCGGATTACTGTCTTTGTCCAGCAGCCCGTCGCCTGGACCCTCTCAGGGCCGGTTCTCCTGTCGGCAGCCGCGGGTCCTGGGCGTGTGCTACCCTTTGCTGCTTCTTTCCAGGCCGGACGTCCCGCACACCAGTGACAGCAGCGCTGTCCTGCCAGCAGCTCCGTGACTGCGCCCTCGCTGTCGGCCGCCCTCTCGAGCGTGTTTACAGTGTGAGTCGCGTGTGATCTTACAGCCACCGCGAGTTGGATTGTGTGTCCAGATTCTAACCTGTCAGTGTAGATGGGTGACACCGAGGCTTCCAAAGGCTAAACATTGGGCCCAGGTCACACAGTCGCTGAGTGGCGGGTCCTGGTTTAAGCCAAGCCCCCTTCCTCCGAAGCCTCTGACGGCCTCCGTGTCCTGTGTATCCGCGGTAACACAGTCAGCAGCGGCTTTCTCTCGTCCTTAGACGTCGGCCGCTCGCTGGGAATAGTTCTAAATCGTATCTCACGTGGCCGCTCTGGGTCCCTGCCGGTGAGGGAGTGATGGATCGCTTTCAGGACGCTCTCCTTTCCGATCGAATCCTCACCTGAGAACACGCACAGGGCGTCCCCAAAGATGTGCACACAGTTTGCATCCTCCTAAGGCAGTGTTTGCTAAGGTACATTTCATTTCCAAAGCCGACCTGTCAGCTGTGACAGTGTGTATACATCTTTCGGGGATGCTCTCTCGCTGTGTATGTATTTTAAATTGATTTTAGGGAGAGAAACATCAACCGGTTGCCTCCCACACACGCCCGGACCGGGGATGAACCCACAGCCTGGGTTTGTGCCTGATCTGGAGCCGAACCCGTGACCTCAGGCGCCCAGGACACCGCTCCAACCAGCGGCGCCACACCGGCCGGGCGGGACGCTCTCCTGTTCACCCGCACACCCTGGTGTGAATTCCTCTGGAAACGACTCTCCTGGCCACACATTGCTGGTAGAAGCTACCCTTTGGGTCACATTGAATAGAATTCTTTCGTGGCAACATAGGGCCTTATTCATGCAAACCTCTGTGCCTGCTTGTGGGTGGAGTGTTTATGCCAAAAAAACGGCCCTTGGGGGTCCACGAGGGCGTTCCCTACCTTCTGGTTCCAACCTGCATTCCTGGGACGGCGCCTGGAAGGAGACCTGTGTGAGTCTGTGTGTGTGTGTGAGTGTGAGAGTGAGTGCGTGTGTGTCTGAGTGTGTGTGTGAGTGTGTGTGTGAGTATGGGTGTCTGAGTGCGTGTGTGTGTGAGTGTGTGTGTGTGTGTAGGGGCCTGTGTGAGTGTGTGTGTGTGTGTGTGTGTGAGAGTGTGTGTGTGAGAGAGTGTGTGTGTAGGGGCCTGTGTGTGTGTGTGAGTGTGGGTGTTTATGAGTGCGTGTGTGAGTATTACCGGCTACGGGAGAAACGGGGTGTGTGTGCTGGGGGCGTGCAGGGTGGGACGGCCGAGTGTGGCCACTGAGAGAGCACGAGGTTGTGCCCGCGCCAGGGGCGCCACGCGCTGCCTTTTAGGTGCGCTCCCCTCTGCCGGGGGCCGGGCGGGGTGCCACCACCCACAGGGCACCGTCCTCTCAGCCCTCCCTTGCCCCTCCCTCTGCCCGTTACCGGGACCTTCTTTTGTGGCAATGTATCCTAATATTGTGTGTTCTTAAATATTTTTATTGATGTCAGAGAGGAAGGGAGAGGGAGAGGGAGAGAAACATCAGGGATGAGAGAGAACCATGGATCGACTGCCTCCTGCACGCCCCCCACTGGGGATTGAGACCACAACCGGGCCTGTGCCCTGACCGGAATCAGACTCTGGTTATGGGATAATTTACAGGTTGCTGCAGCCTCGTGGCTCATAGGTCAACACTCAGCCACGGAGCCGTGCCAGCTGCGGCTACTCTTGGTTTTTAATTCCTGTACAAATGCCTGGGAACAGGGAGCAGCCGGGGAGAACCGAGCCTGATCAGGTAGAAGTCCTGCAGCCTGTGTCTAACGCGGCCAGAACAGCGTCTCGGAGGGGGCGCCTTCCCGCAGGACCTGCTCTTCATTTAGAGCAGCGGTTCTCAACCTGTGAGTCGCGACCCCTTTGGGGGTCAGACGACCCTTTCACAGGGGTCGCCTAAGACCGTCGGAAAACACATATATAATTACATATTGTTTTTGTGATGAATCACTATGCTTTAATGATGTTCAATTTGTAACAATGAAAATACATCCTGCATATCAGATATTTACATGACGATGCATAACAGTAGCAACATGACAGAGATGAAGTAGCAACGAAAATACTTATATGGTTGGGGGTCCCCACAACCTGAGGAACTGTGTTAAAGGGTCGCGGCGTTAGGAAGTTGAGAACCACTGCCTTAGAAGGTCACTGGTATGAGGGCCCATCGGGCGTGCTATGAAGGGAGGAGGAAAAAGAGACTGGGAAGCAGACACCATCCCGTTGACTTGGGGATTGAACGTGAGGATACAAGTCCAGTGCCTGGTCCATGGCCGATGTGCAGTCATGGCGACTGACAGTGGTCAGTGCGATCAGACGGGGAACGCCCCCGGGCTCAGCCTGCACAGCCCCTCCAGCGGGTGCCCGTGGCAGCCCCGGAAAGTCCGAGGACTTGAGTTTTGCCTGGAGGCGTCTCCAAGCGCCCTGTCTGGCTCTGCGTAGACTGGACAGAGGTCCATGCAGCCAGCTTAGGGGGGTCTGGACGACCCCCCCACCAGGATCCGACACCCGGGACTGAGTAGGCACCGCCTGTGCGCGGCCCCTCCCAGCGGCTCCGCCTGCCCATTGCACGGCCACGGCCACGGACACGCCTGGGGAGCTCCCAGCTTTTCCACGGTCTGTGCTGTAAGCGAACGCCAAGTTCTGGAAAGTTCTTTTCCACGCTGGGTACAGGCGTTCTCTCTGGCGCCTTTTGCCGTATCCTCTGCTTCTGTCTTCTTCCCCAGAGTCTAGAGCAGCGATTCGCAGCCTTTTTCATCTTCATCCATCAACTAATTATCATAACTCTGAGGCACACCTAAAACTGTATTACTTTTCTGCCGATCTGAGGGGAAAAAAAAGGTATAATTTTGATTCATTCGCTCCAGACGGCTCTGTGTTGGCTGTTGTTGTTTTTCTGTTTGACAACCGAAGGGAGAGGAGGCCAGTGCCCTGGACTGAGCAGTCGGCGCATGAAACCTCTGGTCTGAAGCAAGTCTGCTTGTTGCCAGCAGCTCCTGTGCTCCGGCCGTCATTCAGGCGTCTAGGCCGCTCTCCTAGGACTGAGTTCCCATCTCCTCCTCCTGCCCCCCTGTCCCCCTGCCCCCCGTGCACCCACCTGGCCCGGAGCAGCCTGCCTCTCATTTTCTCTGCGAGGCTGGTCAGTTCCCGAATTTCCCGGAAACCACAGGCCCCGCGGAGTCATTGGGAGGTTGTGGGGTGCCAGCCCCTCAGCCTCGGCTCCTGGTTGATGAGGTGGCTCCTTTCTAGCCCTAACCGAGTGGCTTTCCCAGCGCCCCCGGCGGTGCTCACTGTGTGGCTTCGAGTCGGCTCTGCGGCAGCTTCCGGTCTAAGGGACGCGTTCAGATCATCTTGGACCCTAATTGGACCCCCTGGTGGTGTGTCCCTGTAACGTCACTTTATCCGCAGCCGTGACAGGTGGAGGTGGGGCCTCTGTTCTCTGTTGGCTGAGTGTCCTTAGTCGACAGCTAACGCCTCCAGCTGCCTCTCGGAGACACCCCGGAAACATTCGCCTTTGGTTTGGCATCGATTCCTTGTGGCTACGGGTCACCTCTGGGACGTGGGCACGGAGCCCAGGTCAATGCCTTTATCCTCGCGGAGAACCTGCCTCGCCCAGGGCAGCTGGTCGGCGCCACGCTGGTAGCGCGTCCCCTGCAGTTAGTGAGGGACACAGACACGCTCCCCGCCATGGCCCATGAGCTGAGCCGGGAATCTGTGCCCGAGAGGACCTCGGGGCGGCCCCTGGAAACCACCATGAGGTACAGGGGCAGCGAGCCCCGAAGGGAGAGCGTGTGGCCCCCCGGGGCCTGAGAGGAGGGTGGCGAGTGAGTGCAGGTGATGAACACACACACGCTGGCAGCCTCAGAGTCGAGCGCCCGGAGGTCCCACCGCCGTTAGAAGCGCAGTGCAGCCCGCGGCTGTCAGCTAGATGTCATGTATAATTACGCTGCTGCTGTTAGTACCATCCAGGGACTGTGCTACTCGCAGCATTTGCTTTGTTTTTATAGCATTTCCATTTGCATGAAGTCACTCTGAGCACAGTTTAAAGAATTCAACGAACTCTTAACACCTCGAGTGAGATTCTCTCTTTCCTCACTGCCCCCCCCCCCCCCCCAAAAAACCCCCCCCCCCCCAGCCTCCCTGCCCAGAGGAACGAGGCTCAACCGGTTTACCTGCGTGTTTGCTTTTAATTCCTTTTACCCTCATTCCTCATGCACATACTTAGGCTATTTCTTATTTGACTTTAGATACTAGCTCCTGACTTTCTGTTCCGATGATTAATACTTGGCGGCAGATACACAGCTGCCCCTCCCCCATCCTGCGTGTCCTCGTGTGAAAATGTAGGATGAGCTCCTTTTAGGATCGGCCCATTGGGAAGTTCTCGTTCCGATGGCCTAAGAGGTGTCCCCCCCGCACCCCCCCGCAGACCACCAGCCAGACGGAGCTGGAGAACTGGATCACCGCCATCCACTCGGCCTGCTCGGCCGCCGTCGCCAGGCACCACCACAAGGAGGACACGCTCCGCCTCCTCAAGTCGGAGATCAAGAAGCTGGAGCAGAAGATCGACATGGACGAGAAGATGAAGAAAATGGGCGAGATGCAGCTGTCCGCTGTCACCGACTCCAGGAAGAAGAAGACCATCCTCGACCAGGTGATGGCTCTCCCCGAGACTCACAGCTCCCGCTAGGCCGTGGTTCTCACCCTCGGCTGCACATGAGAGTCACTGGGAATCTTTCTAAAATCCTGATTGCTGGGCCTCATCCTCCGGAAATTCTGTTTCTGTGTTACTCATGTTGTGGCCCCACTCCATCACAAAGACACAGAATTTCCGGAGGATGAGGCCCAGAAATCAGGATTTTAGAAAGATTCCCAGGGGATTCTAATGTGCAGCTAAGGTTGAGAACCACTGTTGGCTCACACCCTCTTGGGTCAGGCGGTCGGCCTTCTGGGTCAGGCAGTTGCCCCCGTCTGATTTGGGTGGAACCCTGAGCCCTTGGGCGGCTCTCAGCTCCCGCTCTGGCTGCTGTGGCCACCGGGCCCCAGGCTGCTCAGTTCTCCCCGTGACGGGCAGTTTCCTCGCTGCTGCTCATGGTCGATTGTCAGGAGCTGGCGGAGCGGGAAGGAGGCGGAGGCGGACGAAGCCGTCCGGGTGTGTGCTGGGCGTGATCGGGGGTCAGGGCTCAGCGGTGGGTCCCCTCTGGACTCCTCAGTAAACGTAGGGTTCTAGATGTAGGTGGGCCCGGATACCACCTTCAGGAGTGGGTTTTTCCTTTTGTAATATGTTTTTATTGACGGGAGAGGGAGACGGAGAGATAGGACATCAATGGTGCGAGAGAATTACTGATCAGTCGCCTCCCGCACACCCTTCACTGGGATGGAGCCCATAACCTGGGCATGCGCCCTGACCGGGAGTTGAGCCGTGACCACCTGGTTCATAGGTCGACACTCCCGGGCTCCAGTCTTCCTCTTACATGATCTTATTTACTGTCACACCAGCTTCAGGGGCTAGGTCTTATTTTGCCCTAAACCGTAAGGAACTTCTGTGGTCTACCCGCAGGGGGAACTGTGTCCCCCGGAATCGGGCCGGCCCCAACCCATGTTCCCACGCCCCACCAGGTCCTCTCCACACCCCCCTGTCCCCACACCACGTGGGTGTTTGCTCTGCTCTTCAGCTCCCCTCTTTTCCTCTTCTCCTCGTCTCTGTGAGAAGCCAGCCCTGGTAGGTCACCTAATACCCGGGGCTGGACCCCCGTTTTCGCTTCCTCCTCCTGGTTTGTGCCCCAAGCCCGGCGCCGAGGCCCCTGTAACGCTGCAAACGTGAGTCCCCACCCGGGGGACCCTGGACCTCGTGACCTGTTTTCGTTTGTCGTACTGAATTCATGGCCCACGTCTGTGCAGAAACCACGCGGGCTGTGAACGCAGGGACCCTCCCCTGCCGGCGCCTGAGCACGTAGGGGACCCTCTGCACCCCCACGATGGACTCCGGGGCCTGGCAGCGTGGGTCTGTGACGCCTGTGCGGGATGAAGTGCGGTGCGGGCCCCCCTCTCTCACGTCCCCGCGTGTCCCTGCCGTGTCCCCGCAGATCTTCGTCTGGGAGCAGAACCTGGAGCAGTTCCAGATGGACCTGTTCCGCTACCGCTGCTACCTGGCCAGCCTGCAGGGCGGCGAGCTGCCCAACCCCAAGCGGCTGCTCGCCTTCGCCAGCCGCCCCACCAAGGTGGCCATGGGACGCCTGGGCATCTTCTCCGTGTCGTCCTTCCACGCCCTGGTGAGTAGCCGGCGGCTGTGGGAGGGGCTGGGTCAGCGCGTGGAGGTGGGTCCCGCTCTTTCCGCCGCCTGAGCCTGGGGCGGGGGGTGGGCAGGTCTTCCCTGACAGCCGGAAGGTTCCTGCTCCCGTCCCTCGATGGGCTGGTGGTTGTGCCGAGACGTGCGGCACCGTCTTGGGAGGCCTTCGCGGGCAGTGTTTGCTGGTAGCGCCTGCGCCCACAGGCAGGGTCACGTTTTAACCCAGCGCGCAGGTGTGTGTTTTGTGCTAATCCTCCCCGAGGACATTTTCCCATTGATTTCTAGGGAGAGTGGAGGGAAGGAGAGGCACAGGGAGAGGAACGTTGATGTGAGAGACACACATCGATTGGGTGCCTCCTGCACGAGCCCGCACTGCGGGATGTGCCCTGACCGATCGAACCGGTGACCCTTCAGTCCAAGGGCCGGCACTCTATCCACTGAGCCTGACTGGCCAGGGCCCAGGTACATTTTTTGTGTGTTTTTAAAAAAATATATATTTTTGTTGATTTCAGAGAGAAGGGAGAGGGAGAGAGAGAAACATCAATGATGAGAGAGAATCATGGATCGGCTGCGTCCCGCACACCCCCTACTGGGTATTGAACCCGAACCCTGCGTGTGCCCTGACCGGGGATCAAACCTGACCTCCTGGTTCATAGGTCAAAGCTCAACCACTGAGCCACGCCGGCCCGGCCCAAACGCACGCTCTCTCTCTCTCTCTCTCACGTGCAAACTCACACGTATGTGTTGGATGCAGATCTCCCTGGGGACCCCCCCTCTCACTTTCCGTGGTGGTCAGTGGCAGATGGAAACCGGAGTCTTCCCTCCGACGTTCTTGTCTGGGCTGCTGGCACCTTGCACACAGCTCACTGGGGTTTAGTTCCTTTTTTTTTTTTTTAAACAAAACACAGCTTTCAGTGTCCTTCCTTCCGCCTGAACCAGGGCAGGCTGTCGTGGACCCCCGGCTCTCGCGTCTCCTGCCTCCTCCCTGCTTGGGAGGGGCGGGTCCGGGGACCTGCATCTGATCTTGAAAGAAGGTGGCGCCTGCGACAGAATGTATCTGAAAACCAGCTATTGGAAAAACGTCGCTCTGATGCTGAAAAATATTGGCGTCATCGACAGAAAATGTCTAAAGACCAACGTGCCTTTGAGGTTGAAAGAAGGCGGTAGCAACGAGCCCATGGGCTCGCTCCGCGGGGCCTCTGACGGGCGGGGGTGGAGCTGGGGACCGTGGTCAGGTGTCCGAGGAGGTGGTTTGTGGAAACGGAGCGGAAGGGATGGACTCGCAGGCACCGGTGCGCTGCTCGGGTGTCTGTGCTGACCCC